CTCATAGGTGCTCGGCCATACTAGGCTCTGTATCTCCTCTAACTGGGCTTGCTCATAGGCGCTCGTCCACAGTAGGCTTGGTGTATAACTTACCATCTGCTTAGAGGTTGCCCAATAGGGGCCTGCCCATCGATTATAGCTCGATGGTAATGAAAATACCTTAATATTGTATATATATATATATATATATATATATATAAACTCTCTGCTCTCTTGACTGGAAAAAAAGGAAATACTCAATTAAATAAGAAGTCCCGATAAGGAGAATATTGTAATTTACAAAACTAGAAAAATATACGTAACTTGCGAGACTAGCAAAATATACGTAAATTCCGGGATATGAATTTTTTTCTTTATGCTTTGTTATCAAACTTATGTAATGACGCGGTCATGCTAAAATAAAGGAAAAGCTTAGCCTTAACATACCTGGAGGGGGAAAATCCGTATGATGTTCCCAGAAAAGGTTTCACCGTACTCCTTTAGAATTGCAAAATTCTACGTTGGACTGTGGAAGTTTTACGTTGCTACATGCCTTAAACACTCTACTTAATGTGTACAAATTCTTGAGGGAATTGCTGAATTTTTTAGAAATTCGTTAGTTCTGGTTGTAAGAACTTAATTGAATATCTCTTATAAAAAGCATCCTCTTTTAGCCAACATAAGGGTGTAGTCATTTTGCTTTGGAAATGTTAGTATGAGGTGTAACTTAGTTAGCATCTTAAATTGACACCTACCCATCATGACTAATGAGTCATTTGGGTTTGGTGGTGGCTTGATGCCACATAAGGTGGGGGAGTGTTTTTATTAAATCTTATCCTATAATTAATAAATAATTAGGTATTGTCCTGCTACCCGATAATTAACCAATTACCCACATAATTAAGAATTATCTCAAATTACTTAAAATTCTACTCATTTTTAATATACTTTATATATCATACTATCACGGTCATGTGGTACCTTGTATGGTACTAGTCCATAAATATCGGGTAGTATCGCTCGGCCCGTTTTTTATCCCAAATCGACAACCTTCAACAAAACTTATTTTCTTTTATTTGTGAACCCTTTATCCTTCATGGCCCGTACTTATTGCTTGTTATAAATAGCATAAATATGCTAATCTCAAGATAATCTCATCCCCGAATCTACGTTAATTAACTAAAAACAAAACTTTAACGTACGAAATACGCGAGATGTAACACTTCCACTTCATCAACAAAATCAATCACCGAGATGCTTTCATATTCATGTGGTAGTTTCATACCCTTGCTTTCTTGGAATGTAACCTCTTCATCATTCACACGGAATTTGATCTCATTCCGTTCTGAATCCATTAGTGCTCTTTATGTGGTAAGGAATGGTCTCCCCTAGATGATAGGGATCTCTTTGTCAACAGCACAATCAATGATTACGAAACCGGTAGGTAGATGGAACACTCCCACTTTCACAAGCACATCATCGACAATTCCCACCGGTCTCTTTATGGAACGATCGGTCATTTGCAACCTCATACTTGTAAGCCTCGGCATACCTAACCCCGCTTTCTTGTAAATAGCAAGAGGAATTAAGTTGATGCTATCCCCATTATCACAAAGAGCTCTTGCAAAATCACGCGCTCCAATAGTGCATGGAATGGTGAAAGCTCCCGGGTCTTCTTTGTTTTGAACGGTAGTTGTAGCAATGATGGAACTAATCCAGTGAGTCACATTTACCACTTCATTCTTGGCGGTTCTCTTCTTGGTAATCAAGTCTTTCAAATACTTAGCAAAACCTGGCATCTCTTGAAATGCTTCCACAAATAGAATATTTACCGATAACTGCTTGAGAATGTCATAGAACTTGTCAAGTTTGATGTCATCAACCTTCCTAGCAAGTCTTTGAGAGAAAGGAGGAGGACGTCTAGGAATAGGTGGTAGAGTTTTTGGTTCCTCTTTTACCTTTTCCTCTACCTCTTCCCATTTTACTTCTTGAACTTTCAACTCTTCCGGAATCTCTTTATCTTCAACAACAATTTTCTCTTCAATGTGTTCCTCAACCGCTTGCTCGGACTCTTCCACTTCAACCATTTGTTCACTCTCTCCTTGTAGTATCTTCCCACTCCGAGTAGTAATTGCCATGATATGAGAAGTTGGACCACTCCCTCTACCCTTTGGGTTCACAATTGTGTCACAGTGGTATTGTTGCCTTTGATAGCCTCCTTGAGAGTTGTTGACATAGTTGGCTTCCTCATAATCTTCATTTGATGGAGGTTGAACATCTTCCACTTCATTTACCTTCTTCGTTTGGCGTTCAGTGATTTTTTTTGTCAACACATTGACAATGGTGGGAAGCCCTGCAATTACTTGATCTCTTTCTTGATTCTCCTTAATCATGTTGGCCAAGGAGGGAGAACCATATGCAATTTCACTTGTGATGTCCTCTGAGTGCCAAGCTTGATTATGTTTCGCCATTTTGTTAAGGATTTGTGTGATCCTTGCAAATGTCTTATCCATAAAAGATCCATCAGCTGCATTCTTGGCTATAGATTGGTTCATAGCATCTAAACCATGTAGAATTTCTCCAACAAGATAGAATCTGGAAAACCATGATTGGGCGACCTTACCAAATATAACTTGAATCGATCCCATGTCTCATGTAGATGTTCTCCTGGTAGTTTCTTGAAAAAGAAAATTTTATCCCGGAGCTCAGATTTCTTGCTTTGCGGGAACCATTTAGCTAAGAATGGTCGGACAAGTTCAGGACAAGAATGAATGGAATTTGGTGGCATATTTTGAAGCCATTTCCTTGCATCCCTAGCTAGTGAGTACTTGAACACCCTCAACCTTAGGGTATCATCTGAGACGTTGTTCTGCTTGTGCATCGCACACACACCCAAGAAGTTTCTAAGATATTGTGTTGAATCATCATCAGTGGAATTCTTGAAAAAACCCTCCGCTTTTATCATTAGGATTAAACCATGTTCCACCTTGAAAGTTGCAGCGCCAACTATCGGAGGTACAATAGCATTTGTATCCTCGATGTACCCATCTATGTCCGCAAAAGGATTTTCTTACATATCTTCTTCATATTCAGCCATGTTTTCCTATCAGCACCAAGCAAAACAAGCAAAGTGTGATGGAATAGAAGACGACGTAAAGTAAAGCACACACTAATTAGTAATTTCAAAACTGTATTCCCCGGCGACAGCACCAAAATTTGGTACGCTCAATTACACTTTAATTAAGTAGCGTAAGGAAGTCGGTGTCACATATAATAACCCAACAAGGTTGGAGTCGAATCCCACAGGGAATATGGTGTGAAAAGTTTACTTGAGTAGTGTGGAACTTGACTTAAGTCGTAATTCTATTCCGTTAACGTAACAAGAGAATGGTATGATTGTGAATTAAAGAGATAACTAATTGTAAGGTTGAGAATGTAAATGATTTGATTAAGGAAACCAATGTTGTGTCCCCGTCAATGAAATGTAATGTTATCGGTGTTAATATGATATATTTCTAATGGAAGGTCCTTTGATATGCAAATGATTTCTAAATGACTACCCAATATTTTCCAATAGTTGAGTAGTATCTTCCTTTATGATTTTTCCAAATATAAAAGAGTTGCAATTTAAGAACAACCAATTTATGCCAAGTAGAACCCACTTTTCCTAAGGGATTCTATTAAATAAGATTTAAAGTCTTGAGTTCTTGATATTCAATTCTACCAAACCCTAACTCACTTTTCCAAGTAAAGAAATAGTAAATGGAATAGATAAGTCTTTGTAACCACCAACCATAAATAAATAACAAGAATTGAATAAATATCAACCAACCATTATATATATATATATATATTCAATGTTGGACACCCATTAACATTACACCCATCTAGGGTCCACAACCTTAGTATTTAAAACTAGCTACTCATACTAAAATACAAGAACAAAGTATTTAATAAAGCCATAAAGCTTACAAAAGTGCAATATTCCTTCTTCACAACCCTCCAAATAAATGAAGTATTCAATACTCTCTGAGTAGGACCTTATTTCAGACTTGAATGACCCACAAAAACTCTAGTTATACCCTTTATAGTGGATCAAAAGTAATAGTCAAAATCGGACAAAAATGCCCCTCTAGACAGCTTATGCGATCGCATTATGGTCGCAGAACAGGTATGCGGACCGCATATTGAGCATCCCATCGCAAACTTGCTGAGCTCCAGATCTTGCTTCAATCGCATAACAGTTATGTGGTCCGCATATGTGTTATGCGACCACATATCCCATCGTATATCATGTTGAGGGCTATCTTCTTCTAGGGTTATGCGACCATTATGCGGCTTGCATAGGTGTTATGCGACCGCATAATGGATCGCCTATTTTCTTCTACATTTGGCCTAAAAGATTGTCTCTGTTTGTGATCAGCAAGTCAGTTATGCGGTCTGCATGTGAGTTATGCGACCGCATACTTGCAGCATATCCGCCTTTTGTAACTTTTTGTCTTCTTTTCCATGTTTTTGGGTCTTCAAGCTCATGCACTACAAAACAACCAAACTTGATCAGAATTAACTAAAAATGCATTAAAAGACAAGTTAAAATATAAGTAATTGGTATCAATTGTGCCAAAATTCTACGGCTCATCAGCCACAACCTGCCATCCACATGATCTTAAGAGGCATCGATGCTCCACAAGAACCCATGATCAGAAGAACAAAAATATCCATCACCATAGAAAAGCGAACTCGAGGTTACATACCCGAGGATGCCCTCATATTTAGTGACGAGGAAATACAGACCTTGTCTCGGCCTCATAACGACACACTGGTAATCTCTTTCCTTGTAAATACATTTCAAATAAAATATGTACTTGTGGATCCAGGTAGTTCGGCCAATATTATCAGGTTGAGGGTGGTAGAGCAGCTCGGACTGCTTGACCAAATTGTACCCACTTCTTGAGTCCTCAACGGGTTCAACATGGCAAGCGAAACAACGAAAGAGGAAATCACCCTCCCAGTCAACGTGGCCGGCATAACCCAAAATGCCAAATTCCATGTCATCGAAGGAAACATGAGGTACAATGCCTTGTTCGGGAGGCCATGGATACACTGCATAAGAGCAGTACCATCCATCTTCCATTAAATGATGAAATAACCGACAAAGGATGGGGTAAAAACCGTCTACGAGGAACATCATGTGGAAAAATCGATGTTCGCGGTGAACGATATGGAACCGACACCAATACCTCCACCATCGAATGAGCCTAAGGATAAGCAAATAGTAATATAGAGACAACAAGCTACATCCTCGGCTACGCCTGACTAAACAAAATGAAGGACCATACCGAGTCCTCACAAAAAACGATTGAATCACGTCTAGGTCCGGAGTGCAGTCAGCACTAAGGTATGATCATGTCCCTTTTCCAGTTACATTTTATACTAACCTGAATGCAGGTATCCGATTCAAACGGCCGAAGCTCTCTCCAACTCGAAGGCCTTAGGTTCCAAAAGCATATGTTGCACTCTTTTCCTTCGACCGGGTTTTTGTCCCAAGAAGGGTTTTACCGGCAAGGTTTTTAACGAGGCAACAACTATATGCTACCTAAGGAAGACTCAACAAGTATTCAAGGCTTCTTTGTCAATCAACCTCGAATATTGGGGGGGCATCCCCCTAGAAGGTCACCTCTTCGGAGAAGCCAAGATATGTTGAACGGGGTCTCGGTGGAAAATAATGTACCGGGCCAAACGGTCGAACGAACCCTGTACGCATAGAATAACCGAGCCCTTAACAACAAAAACGTGTATACTTGTACCAAGTAATCAAAGAATACTTTCCAAAGCATTTTGCATTTCAAAGAAGCTTGGTGTTTTTGCAAAAATGGCTCCAGAGCCAAAAACGTCCCAAACAGTCAGGGACTGGCATCAACAACTCGAAACCGTATGACATCCGGGTCGGAGCTTCAAACTCGTAAGCCCTCAATAAGGCAACATCAAGTTCACAAAATGGCTCCAGAAACAAAAACATCCCAAACACTCGGGGACTAGCGTCAAAAACTCGAGGACGTATGACCTCCTGCTCGGACGATTAGAACTCGTAAGCCCTCGATAAGGCAATACCAAGTTTTCAAGAAATGGCTCACAAGCCAAAAAACTTTCGACGACTCGGGGACTGCCGCCAATCACCACCCCCATCGACTTATCAAAAACCCAAGGTCATAAGACCCCATGTGGGCAGCCTCGGTCTCGTAAGACCTATATAAGGCAATAACAATATTTGTAAGACCTTAAGCAAGGTATGAACCACACTTGTACCAAGTAACCAAAACTGTAAGACCTCAAGCAAGGCATGAACCACACTTGTACAAAGTGACCAAAATTGTAAGACCTCAAGAAAGTCATGAACCACACTTGTACCAAGTAACCAAAACTGTAAGACCTCAAGCAAGGCATGAACCACACTTGTACAAAGTGACCAAAATTGTAAGACCTCAAGAAAGTCATGAACCACACTTGTACCAAGTAACCAAAACTATAAGACCTCAAAGGCATGTACAAATTTGTAAGCCCTTACAAAATGCATAACCCTGATCTTAAAGTTAAGGCTATATATCTTACTTGTAAGACACCTAAAATGGAATACCCATGATATAAACTCCGAAAACTCGGGAACTGAAAGGCTCCGGCCGAACACAATGACTATGGTCACAAGGCTGTACCAGCCAAACTAACGCGACTCAGGGACGCCTGACCGTCACTATAAATTTACAGGACTTCAATTACTTTAAAAATACTTCGAAAATAATCAGTTAAACAGGCTACCCTCGACATAGGCAAATGAGCTTCGACCATGTCAGCTCCAAATTATAGTCTTAGAGATACTCAGCCACCGAGCCAAACCTCTCGAGATGCTCGCTCATCACCATATAACGACTCACAATCGAGGTTTTTATCAAACCATCGAAGAGTAATGCAAACACAATTTCAAAAGTCCTTAACGAGGGAAAAATAAAACCTGCAAGAGGTCATACCGACCCAATGCATAAGAGCCACTGCCTCCAACCCATACTAGAGGTCGTACCGACCCAATTCGTAAGAGCCACTGCCGCCAGCCCATATAAATGGTCGTACCGACCAAATGTGTAAGAGCCTGAGGGTCAGCTTTAAATTAAAAAACTTAAGGGTCAAATGAGCTCGAGTTGAAAGCCGACTCGGAGACTGAACCCAAAACAGTTAAGTAAATATGCCTAAGAGCAAAAGCATAAGAGCTCAAATGCCAGCTTATACTAAAAGGTCGTACCGACCAAGCGCGTAAGAGCCTACGGGCCAGCCCAATGAGCCCTAGGGCCATACTATAAATCTGAGGATTCCTTTTAACTCGAAGACCAATTCATCCGGCTAACGACTGGAAAACATCGAGGCAAAGGAAAGTATATGAAAAATGAAACCGTGAGGTTTCCTCTTATACATATATGAGAAAAAATACAAAACTCCAGTTATAGTGTTCTTTAAAAGCACTATGCATAAATTCCGAAAAGAAAGGCCTAATTTGCATCCCCCTTGGGGACTATGGCCCGTCGATATCCTTCTCACTATCTTCAGCATCGGACAGAAGGAACATAGCATCATATTCATCTGCCTTTGCCTACTCCATCTC